TGTGTGTGTGTGTGTGTGTGTGTGTGTGTGTGTGTGTGTGTGTGTGTGTGTGTGTGTGTGTGTGTGTGTGTGTGTGTGTGTGTGTGTGTGTGTGTGCGTGCGTGCGTGCGTGCGTGCGTGCGTGCGTGCGTGCGTGCGTGTGTGTGTGTCAGACCTGGTGGAAGATGAGGGCCTGGCTGATGTAGCCCCAGCTGGAGGTGGGGCTCAGGTAGTGGATGAGCAGCAGGAGCAGCAGCATGAAGGCGATGCTTGCCGAGGCGTAGATGGCGTTGATGAGAAACATCATGACGGCACAGCCAATTATCCCCAACACACAGGTGTGCCAGGTGAAGTACCGGAAGGTGGGTCTGAGAGGGAGAAGCAATGCTTGGTTAGTTATCAAGGTACGATAGTTGGGGAGACGTAAACATAAGAAAATACATTTTTGAGAAGAGGGGATCTTAAGGTGTTAGCCTCAGAGAGGGTTTTGAACATGGAGGTAATGTAAAATAGTTTTCATCAGTTAAAACCCCAAAGATATCAAATGTAATATGATATAAAATAGGAAAGGTGTGAAATCTCTGTATTTGAGAGGCTGAAAACAACATTTTCTGATGAATTTGTGTTTAAAAATTACTATTCATTGTTGATCATCATACCTTACAATTCTACCCACAATGCATTAAGCCATATTGTGAAGTCCATAGTGTCCTCTCTGCCCTTTAAAATGGCCCCAGTGTACTTATCACCATTTCTATTGGCACCTTTCTAAAGACTTTGGATATTATCCGCAAGACGTCACAAGCAATTATTCTGTTCCCGAAGAAGTAGGCAATGCTCAGTTACGTTATTTAGCTCTATCTGCAACACTGTGTAACACCTACAGTACCTCACACGAGGGGGTCTTAAGGTATCAACAGAGTCAAACCACGGCTGTGTAGACTCTGTTTTTAACATGCAGGTAATGGAAAATAGTGAGAAATGTTTTTTAAATGTCATGTTTTATCAGATAAAAACTAAAAGCTATCCAATTGAATATGACATAAAACAGAAAAATAGGTAATATCCATATTTGAGAGGCTGAAAACAACATGTTCTGACATTTTTGTATTCATTATTGATCAGCACACATTACAATTCTACCCACAATGCCTTTAAGCATCCCTCCTTCTATCCTGGTGATGTCCATATTGTCCTCTCTGGCCTTTTTAAATTGCCCTCCATCACCACTGCTATTGGCACCTTTTGAAAAACTCTGGATGTGATCCACAAGATGTCACAAGCAGTTATTCTGTTCCCGTTTAAAAGGGACATCATCGTTCAATATCACAAGGAAACAGCCTGTGTGAAATCACTTTGCATTGATTTTACACTGGGGGGCGGAACAACAAGCTGTCAACCTGACACATTATCACCTCATCATCAGCTGAGAGTCACACATCCAGCAGGCTAATACTTTCTTCCCCTCATATTACTCGGTCATTCAAGCCATTGTTGATATTATACACATGTTGAAAATAGCAGCTTTTAAGTCTGTGGATTGACATTTATTTTTGAAAGTTTGTCCATTGTTTCCTTCTATAGATCTGCTGTGTTTAGCCCTGTCTTGATCAGGTTTTGTTATAATCTAGACCAGGGGTGTCCAAACTACGGCCCGGGGGCCAAATGCGGCCCGCTGGCCATTTTGAATCGGCCCTCAGCAAATTCTAAAAGTATAATGAAATATGGCCCACAAAGAAACTTGTGCTTGTCTTGTACTTCTTAAATATAGATGAAAACACATATTACACAGTAGTATTCATGTGTTACGAAGCCAACTTCAAATACATTCAGTCAGTTAAAACTGAA